GTTTTGCTCCTCATTTTCACAGGAATGCCTTTGCTATTAAGGACTGTATTTGCTCTCCATTCCAGGTCATCACTAGGTATCCTATTGTTTGTTGGACTGAGATCAACACATTTGTCATCTCGACAACGTCTTTCTAACCCCAGTCACTATGCATTTTCATCAGGGCACATCTTATTGGGATAATTATATGGTTTTTCTCCTGTGTCCTATTTGTATGATGAACAACATTCATAAACTTTTAACGTTGGCCCTCCTTCCATAAACGAAGTGTCTCCGGAGCCAGTGGGAACAAATTAGCTCACATTAACAGAAATAACTCAGGTCTCACTGGTGCAGCTCCCACCTGCATAATATAAAACAGATGTCACAGACTGGAACTCAATAGGGTCATGTCTCGCTTGGCCTGCCAGGGGTTTTAAAATACCATTTTGAATTAGCTGCCAGAATTTAAAAATCAAGAGATTTCAGGTTAATAATGCCAATTTCTGATCTCTCTTTAAAAATTATAAAATCTGACCACAGCAGGCCTGCATTCCCACATGCCCACAATGGGCTGGAGTTGCCCCCCTGGGTGGGTGGGGGGCTGGAAGAGGGGCTCCGTTAGTTTATTTGCATGCTTTCCACACCTTGTTTTCTCCATACCCCACTGTTTCCTAGACATCAAGGTCAAGGTTCAATTGCCAGTTTTGTATTCGTGCAGTTGTTTTTCTTATAATGGGATTAGGCAAAGGTGAAATATTTCTTGTAATCATGTCTCTAGCAAATGTGGAAATAAGAGAAGAAGCCAAGAGGGTTATGGGCTTCAAGAGAAATGGGAGCAAACGTATTTATCAGTGGAAGCGAAGAATATTCCTATATGTTTAATATGCAAAGTGTGTCTCTTGGAAGAATACAGTGTTATGATGCCACCAGAAAAGAAATCGTAAGAATACTGTGTGCGTGGAAAGAAAATCTCACTGAACTGGGGAAAATAAAAGAATGAAATATCAACGGGGTTTGTTTCAGGAGGCACAGAGTATAAACAATGCTGCCATGAAATGCCCTCATATGGGGAAATGAATACCTTCTGGCCAGTTCGGTCCATAAGCTTGACCTCTTGGCTCTCAGAGACACTAGAGCTTCTGGCCCGTATGCCAGTCTCCCAGCTTCTTTCAAAGCTTCCTTCACTGTGGGCTTCTCCCCAACCCTCTCCCTTGACCCTTCTGCTGCTGTGTCCAGGTTGGAACACCCTAATGAAAGCAGCTCCCTGTGCTTCTGCCTAAAGCTCTTTTCCCATCGGGTTCAGATGCTAAGCTGTGGGGATGGCCAGGTACAGTGGTCACATGCCCATTGGTTGCAACACAGAAGGACAGGCTTGGCAGGAGTGGGGGTGAAGGTTGGCCCCACGTCCACTAGCTGCTCCCCAAATGTCCCATCTAAATTTCAAGATGGCAGTCGATCAGTCAGAGCCTCAACCTCTCCTATGTTGAACTTCTGGAACTTTCCACTGGAGACCACTCTTTCTGGTCCACCCACAAACCCCTCTTCACAGGCCCCTGAATTCTGACCAGAGATGCTTTGGGCAAACCAGTCCACCTGAGGCAGCGAATATGTCCGAATTCCTTTAGGCTCCTCCAGGATGTTGGCATTCCTTGAACAAACCCTACTTTGTCGTGGCATATTACCGTTTTCCACTGAAGGCTGAATATAGTTTGTGCTTATTTTATTTCAGATTTTTATATCTGTATCATAGAGAAGAGTTGTCTGTAGTTTCCTTTGTAAGTTTTAATAAGAAAAAATGAAAGGGGAAGTTTTTCAAATGCTTGTAAGATTTGGCACTTTTTTTTTGTTCTTTAAAGTTTATATATTGATACAATTTTCGAATTACAAAAGAAGTTGCAAAGAGTGTTCCCATAAAACTTTCAACCAGTTTCCCTAAATATTAGGATAGAACATAACATAGTATGATTATTGAAATCAGGAAATTAAGAGATACAGTACTATTGATGAACCTATAGACTTTATTCAAATGTTGCCAACTGTCCCATTTATGTCCTTTTTGTTGGTCTGGGATCGAGTCCAGAATCCCTCATTGTATTTCAGTGTCGTGTGACACTGTCCCTCAGTCTTCTGTGTCCTGATTTTTATGCTGTTGGAAGATTTTGTAGACCTTCCCTCAATTTGGTGTAGTCTGATGTTTTCTTATGGTTAGACTGAGGTGAGGCACTAAAAAAAGAGATTTATTTATTTATTTGAGAGACAGAGTAAGCACGAGATTGGGGACAGGGGCAGAGGGAGAGGGTACAAGTAACTGGAGCCCGACAATGCAGGGCTCAATCCCATGACCCATGAGATCATGACCTGAGCCAAAATCAAGAGTAGGATGTTCAACCGACTGAGCCGCCCAGGTACCCCCGGGGGTAAGGCATTTTTGACCAGAATGCCATGGAAATGATGTGCTTTTCTTAGCACATCAAATCAAGAGGTAAATGACGTTGCGATGCTTTGCTATGATACTGTCAGTATTTTTCACTTGGTGAAGGTAGGGTCTGCCCGTTTCTCCACTGTCATGTTACTATTCTTTCTTTGTAGCTAACAGGTGGTTTGTGGGGAGCAACTTTAAGTCTAAGCAAATAACCCATTCATCATCACACCTTTGGCCACCACAGTGAGCATCCATTGATGATTCTTGCCTGCAAACACGATTACTGTGTCGTCTGCCAATTTCTAATTCCATCATTCCTCCTACATTTAGTCACTGGAATTCTACCATTAAGGAAGCATTGTCTTTTCTCCGCTTACTTACTTATTTATTCAATTTTAGTGTTTCCTTGGTGATTATTTTCAGAGCATTAAGGATAAATGTAGTAAGAGGAAGCAGACGGGGTAGATTCCTCTTTGAAAACAAGGCAGTTTAAAGGAGAGAGATTATAGATAGACATATATTTTTATTTATTTTTTAATACTTTATTTGACAGAGAGAAAGAGAGCACAAGTGGGGGGGTGGGAGAGGGAGAAGTAGGCTCCCCATTGAGCAGGGAGCCTAATTCGGGGCTCCATCCCAGGACCCTGGGATCATGACCTGAGCCAAAGGCAGATGTCCAACTAACTGAGCCACCCAGGCGCCCCAGACATATGGAGCAACAACAAAGAGCTGTACAAAGTATTACATAATCAGGTGCCACAGGAGTGACAAGGGCACCTTGAGTCTTAACCAGTGGCTTGGGGGAGGTGGGAGTAGAAGGTGGCAGAATGTGCCAGAATGGCTGTAGTTCCAACTTCTAGCCAATAGGTGTCAGGTGTTGACCAGATCTTCAAGTCAGTGGCCAGCCCTCGGAGGACAGAGTGGAACTTGGTGAGGGGTTGGGATACGGGCAAGCCCAGGGGATGCAGGATGGGACTAAGTGGGCTTCATGGCGTGCTCAGCTCCCTGGCAGTGAGCTCTAACAGGCAACTCTGCCTTCCTCCATCTTCAGTTTTAGGAATACCAAGGACATGGCGGAAGTCAAGCATGCCATAACTTCTCTAGCGTCTTCTTGAGCCTTGCAAAGTGATCTCACAATCCAACACGTCAATCCGGGATACATCGTGCCATTCTGGAGACTCAGTTCCTGAATCCAGAGCAGTTCCACCCCAATGTCCCCACCCTGGCCACCTCTGGGCTGTCTCCATCTTCCCCTTTCTCCTTTTATTGTGGTGTAAAAGAGTAGGGATTGGGGAGACTAGAGTCCGTGCCCACCCTTACCAAGTCGCGTGACCTCAGCGTGCCCTCTCGGTCTTTCGTGGCTCTGGTTCCTTATTTGTGAAATGGAGGCGTGCGGGGGTCTGGCTGGTGGATGACGCATACAAGTGCTAGACGGCCTCTGAGCGCCCTTTGCAGCTCTAACCCTTTGCAGCTCTAACTGCAGGCTGGAACCAGACCGTCGTGTTCGCCCAGGGGTACTTTCTGTTTCTGTGCCTTTGGGGAAGTTGCTTTTTCTTGGTATTTTGGGAGTCAGGAAGAGAAGAGCCATTGGTGTTCACATCCCTCAAAGCCTCAGGTAGGGCTGTGGCTTTTGACCAACAGTAACGTCCGACCTTGTGGCCAGTTTCAAGCGCCTTCCACAGCTATTGTGACACGGAGTCCCATTCAACAGTGGAAGTGGAAATTTCAGCCTTGCCCTGTATTAATTCTGAAATCAAGGTCTATTCTTCCCTTGCAAGGGCTGCCGGCACAACTTTCTTACCCCCATTTTATAAGTGTGGAAACGAGGCTCAGGGCAGCGCAGGGACTCCCGCGACTCCGTGCTGAGTTCTTCCTGCCAGCGTCGTCGGGGGGGCGGGGGGAGAGGAAGGGGCAAGAAGAGGGCCTGGACTCTGGACATGACCCCCCACCCCCCGCTTCGGGGGCCGAGAAATGGCCGAGTGACAGCCACCAGCGGAGGAAGGGGGGAAAGGCAGCCTGGGGGCTAGAGGTGCGGTGCTGAAAGCCTGCCTTCTTGCAGAGGGGTGGGGGTCCAGGCGCCCGTCTGCGCACCAGGGGTGCAGGCATTTTAAAGGTTAAGAGCACCCAAAGAAAATAGAAGTAGGAGGAGGAAGTGGGGCGCTGGGTCGCAGTGAGAGAAGGAAGCAGCTCGTCGGAGCTTCCCCTTTCTCCTCCTTCCCCGAAGCCCCCCCACCCCAAGCCTCCCTCCGGCTCCGCCTACCCGTCCTGTGGGGCCGAGGCCGCGCTTCCGCTCTCCGGGACCCGCCGCACCTGACTCCCGGGGGGTCGGTGGCGCTCGGGACCCCTCCGGCCGTGGCCGCCCACCCGCGGGGAACTGCCCCTTCCAGGGCAGACGCGCTCCACGCTGGTGCCGCCCCTCCTGCGCTGCGCTGGGCAGGCGGCACTCGGGGGATGAGTGGGCCAGCCGCCCGCGCGCCCCGGCCGCCAGGTGGCGCTAGAGACCCGCCGGGCGCCCCGCCCCGCCCCGCCCCGCCCCGCCCCGCCCCGCCCCGGCGTGGCCCCGCCCCCGGCCCGCCGTCCGAGCAAAGCCGGGGCCGATGCGGGGACTTGCAGAGCGGCTCCTGCCCGGCGTCGTGGTCCCGAAAGCACGCGAGCCGCGGGGAGTCGCCGCTGGAGAGGGGCTCGGCGCCCGGCGGGGACTGCAGGTGCGTGGCGGGGCGGGCGGAGCAGCGTGGCGACCGTCGGGGAGCAGTGGGCTCTGAGAGCGGCGGCCGCCGCGGGCGGGCTGGGCTGTCCTGCTGTGGCCCGGCCCCGGGGGCACGCGGGTCCGCGCACCTGCTGTCCCCGTACTCCCGGAGACAGAAGGGGCGTCCCGGGGCGGGGGGGCCCTGCCGCACGCCGGGGCGGTGCGTGTGGCCGCGTCCTCCCGCCCCCTTCGAAAGCCGGCCGGAGTGGGGGGTCAGGAGCCCGCGCCCCCTCCTCCTGGGGACGGTCGCGGGGAGCGTGGGCGTCGCCGCCGGGACCCGGGCGTCGCGGAGGTGCCCAGGCGCCGGCCGCTCTTTTGGAGCGCGGCTCGTCGGCGCGCGGCAGGAGCCGTGTTGACACCCGGGTGTCCCTGCGTGACTCCGCGGGTGCGTGTGTGCAGGTGTGTGTGCGCGTGCGCGCGCGCGCTGGCCCATCCCAGGCCCCGGGGTAAATAAGTGAGAGGTTCAGGTCAGTAGGAGGAAGGCGAGGGTTCAGAGGGAAAAGGAACGCGAGATGAAAGCAGCAGGATGTGGTATCGAGTGAGTTAACAAGCCTCTGCGCAGAGAGGAGGGGTGGGTTTAGGCGAAATGAGGGCTCAAAGTAGGCCAGGTCTGCCCGGAAGGCCCCTTCTGGATCGCCCTTCCCTTCCTCCCTCGCGTGGTCGCTGCATCTTCTCGTCCACACTCTTCCTCCTGCCCTGGACCACCTGGTAAGGCGCTGGTTCCCAGGGCTTGTTAAAGCACGCATTCCCCGGGCCCCAGGTCCAGCTTTGGGGCGGGGAGTGGGGGGGTGGGGTGGGGCGAAGTCTGAAATCCGTATTTTTCTAAAATTTGGATAAGCTCCTTCAGTGATGCCCTGGACCCATTGCTGGGGAGCCCTGTGTGATGTGGAAAGGAGAGTTGAGCTGCCGCAGGGGTCTTGCTGTGTGACCTTGAGCATCTTCTGTCCCTCCCCCAGCCCGTTGCCCTATCTGTGAAATGGGCTCTAATAGTGACTAGCTGCACATGGGAGCTGTTTCCTGCGCGCTTGCAGAACAGGAGTATGGAGATCAGGGGGCTTCCCTGCTTCCTCAGCCTGCCCACCGTGGTGCGGGTCCAGGAAGACAAAGAAGGTTTCCAATGGTCAAGCTCTCTTTTCCTGGATACCCTCTCTTTTCAGGATACCCTTCCTTGCTTTTTGAAGCATAAGCTGCCAGGACTGTAGGGACAGGCAGGCTTGGGGTCTCTGTATGCTGGGCCTCGTTGGGATTTTAAGCGTCGCCCGCCCCCCTCCAGCTTAAGAGGGAGATGATTATCTTCTCTCCCCAAGCTGTAATGGAAGCAGACCACCTCAGCCTCCCCTTCCTCGTTCCCATGCTGCTCTGTTTGTTTCTTTCAAGAGGAATCAGTGGAAGGTAAGTGGTGGTACTAGGTGAAAAGCATGTTTGGGGTTACTGGAGGGGTAATGATGATGAGGCTCCCCACACTGATCAGGGGCCTCTTGGCTGAGAAGTGGCAGAGGAGGAGAGCCAGGAGCCCCCAGTAGCCTCTTGGCTTGGACAGCCTAGAAGCCCCAGCTTGGATTCACCTTAGCACTCCAGCTTTTGTTCCAAGAGGCTCACCCCAGTGGGCTGACCTGGCCGGCCCTGTGGGATCCCTGTGAACCAAAAGCGTTGTTTGCCTCAGCTGTGGGTGGGCTGAAGGCCTGGATCAGCTTCTTAAGAGAGGAAGCTTCTAGAGGGGCCAGAGAGTGATGAGCAGTCACTCAGGGGAGAGGGGGTAAGTTTGATTTTTGAGGCTCTGGCATAGATGTGTGTGGGAGGGAACAAAGGAAGGGTTACATCTGACTTGTGCCCAAAGGGAAGATGAGACGTTCCTAGAGCAACCCTGTATGACGTATTAGGATATCCCATAGATTTGAAGACATATTTGCACATTTTAATGACTCAGAAATCGAGATGCATCTTACCATTATAATAGACAACAGTATTTCTTTCTTGGCGGCACACAAAATAATGACTTTGGGGACATGAGTGGTGGCCCGCCCTGGGTCTTCTCTGTTTGCTTCCAGGCTCGCAGCTGGGTTCTGGATAACAGGGGGTTTCAGTTAGGTGCCTTCTGGATAAGGGAGATATAGCTGTAGCAAGGTGCCCCCAGCAGGAGGGTGGGGGCTCAGGGATAGGACGCAGTGGGTGACTGGTGGCAGAGAGTGGGTGCTGGGTCCTTCTTGGGTCTGGTGGGTCTACCAGTTGGGGTATGAGGCTCCAGCCTTGCTCCTGTTGCCATGGCCAGGTAAGGCAACAGATCGAAGCAAGAGTTTTGACCATGAACCCTTTAGAGCTGCCACCACCCCCTGGAGAAGGCCCATACTCCTTGGCATGGCTACCGGGCCTCTCGCCAGCCAGCTCAGGGCCACTGTCCTGCTGTATCTCTGGAAGTTTGGGCAAACCCCAGTGCCTTTGTACCTGCTATTCCTTCCTTCATTTTGCCATTTCCTTCCTCTACTGCCCGATGGACTGTGATTCCATCCCCCTGCTCAAACCTCATCATCTGTGAAGTCTTTTCCAACCACCCCCTCCCCACTCCCCGGCCCTGACCACTCCCCCTGTCCTCAGCACACCTTCTATGTCCTCCTGCCGGGGCACTGACCGCTCTGGCCTACAGGGTCTGACCAGCAACATGTTGGCTTGCTCACCTGAGCCACCTGATGCTCTGTGTGGCTGTTCAGCTCTCACCATAACCGCCCCCCACCCCCGCAGGATGTCAGAGGCAAGAAATCCATGCGCGCCAACAATGGGAGTTGCCGCCTGCAGGAGGGTGGGGTCAGAAGGGAGGGGTGTGCTTTTCATTTTCGTGTCCTCTGGAGTCTTCTAGCTGCTGTTGTTGACCTAGGCAAATGAGGCTGTGTGGTTTCCTTGTTGGGGGCAGGGGCTGGGGCACGAGGGCTGAATGTGGCGTCTGGGCTTCTGCCTCCCTTGGAGTTGATTGACCTTGTTTCTGCGTGTCTCCTGCGCTGCTAGGCATGTGACCTTGGTTCCGTCCGCACACATCCCCTGGGGTGTCCGTTCTCACCTGCGGGGAGGTGTGTAACAAGTGCTTTCTACAGTCCCTTCCTGAGCTCCCACCTTCCCTTCACTGGCTCAGCACTTTTTTACGGAACACCTTCCCTGTCCCGGGCATGTGCTGGGCTCCCTTCCTCCCTCCTGAGCAACACAGACAGTGTTCCTGCCCTCATGAGATTCATCAGGCGGGCGAGACACTAGACCCACATTCCATTTCATCACACTGGTGAGAATTAGCGGGGGCCTGTGATTTTACACAAAGGGAGCTCCATATAGCTTGGAGGGTGAAGGAAAGGCTTCCCTAGCCAAATCCTATTCATGGTGAGACTTGAGAGATGCAAGATAGAAAGAAACAGCAATGCCGATCGTAGTAATCCCGACCATTAGGCAGGTAGCTCGCCCAGTGTGTGGCATGGACCAGGGGCTCAGGCCCTTGGAGGCCATCAGTTCTATTAGCGGTGTTCCCCTTTTCCTCGGCACTGATCATCAGCAGGGAGCATGTTTCACCGCTGCCCCCGTGGTCTCCTTGCAGGAGGGCCCCAGCTTCGAAGGGAGCCCCTGCACCACATTGTCTGCCAAGCCTTCATTCTGTCCCTTTCCGGAGCAGCTGCCCTTACAGGGTTAAGAAACGCTGGTTTTCTATAATCCGGTCACCACCCCACCCACCCACATCCTTCTCCATGCAGAGCTGTCCTCCCAGAACCACGAAGTCCGTGTGGGTGCTTGGGGTCTGAGCGTCTGTGCCTGAATGGCCATGTGGTTGGGACTCTTGGCACGAGGCACATGGTCACAGAGCCACGTCCACGCAGCCGGGCTGGGACGGCCCACCTCCTCAGTGTGTTTTTCTGGGTTAGATCACATCTGCACCTACGGCTCTTCCTTGATAATGGAGATGGTAGACTTTCTACCACCCCCGCCCCCCGGCCAGAAAAAAGGCACACGTGTGCGTACACACATATACATGATTTCTCTCCCTCTCTCTTTCCAAGTTTTGCATAAAAGGTCAGGGTTGGGATGCCTGGGTGGCTCAGTCAGTTAAGCGACTGCCTTCAGCTCAGGTCATGATCTCAGGGTCCTGGGATCGAGCCCCACGTCGGGCTCCTTGCTCAGCTGGGAGCCTGCTTCTCCCTCTGCCTGCCACTCCCCCTGCTTGTGCTCTCTCTCTCTCTGACAAGTAAATAAATAAAAACTTAAAAAAAAGGGGGGTGCCTGCGTGGCTCAGGTCATGATCCTGGAGTCCTGGGATCGAGTCCCACATCGGGCTCCCTGCTCAGTGGGGAGTCTGCTTCTCCCTCTGACCCTCTTCCCTTTCGTGCTCTCTGGCTCTCATTCTCTTTTTTTCAAATAAATAAATAAAATCTTTAAAAAAAAAACTTTAAAAAAAAGTGTGGGGGGGCGGGGTGGGTGCAGGGGATGAGCTCCCTGACCACTCACGGAGCCCCCACCCTCCGATGCTTACACTTTCTGGATTTCTCATCAAGTCTTGAATTCAGGCCATTTTCAAGATGACGTAAAAGCGTTACTTTTGCTCGTGGCGTCCTTACAAGAAACCCTCTGCTCCGTCCCAGCACTGCTCTTTCTTTGCCACAGATGCTCCCAGCTCCCCGAGCGCCCAGGGACCAGCCTGAGCCTGGGGCCTTGTATCTCTGATATGGGGGCCCGGTCAAGTGCCACGTGTGAAGGAGGTTTTCTTCCGTTCCTCATGACGAAGGATTTTTAGAAGCCTGAATGGAAGTGAAGTCTGTTGAATAGTTCTGTCAGCATCTTACCAGGAGATTCTTGCATCCTTTTGCCTTGCCATAGATTTATGTGACAGATGATATCATTAGCTTCCTTGGATTGAGCCCGTCCTGCATTTCTAGACCAAACTCCGTTTGGTCAAGGCGTTTTATTCTTTAAGGGCAGTGCCAGATTTGATGT